CCCACAACCCTCTGATACAACTGCAACAAAACTTTATTAGATTTACATATGCCCTTCATGCTGGGCACTGTCTCAAAACACTTCAAAGGATTTTACTAGAAAATGTAGTGACTGTGTTTCAAGTTCCTTGTCTCACCCTACCTTTGCGACCTCCTTAAACCCTACCAACCTGGCTGCTCCCTCTGCTCAGCGAGCACCAGCCTCCTTCACACCCCACCCGTCCCACCATTTGCGGTCATGCTTTCAAGGTATCTGCCCTCACTTTCTGGATCTCCTTCCCAAGTCCCTTCAACTCACCTCCTTTAAGGTCTAACTTCCTCTTTGACAATGCTTTCGGCCATTTTTCCTACACTGCACTGGGGTGATAGCCTGATACCAGCATGACACCAGTATGAAGCAATAGTAAAGACCTGGTACTGAATGTCAGTCTGTTCTTTTATTGTTAATCATCGAAAATGTGCAATAAATTTGATTGTACTTTTTCATTATAACTTGGACACTTAGCTTTCCCCTCCCAACCAGCAAAGGTTTTGGGCTCAGGGAACAACCATCAAGCCTAGTTCCTGCACAATGGAAGGGCACGATGAACAATGCTAGCTGAGCTTTTTGGCCTCCGATCGTATTTGGCCTGCCAACACTCCATTGAATTCGAACATCCTAGTTTCCAGGGAGTGGGCTCAGCACTGATCCTTGGAAGATTAACCTACACATTAGGACCTATTCAAATACTAATGTTTCAAGGGCATTCTTCCCTTTCTATGAGATCTAATAATCATAATAATTTTTGCATTCGATTCAGGCCCTGTAATAATAATAATCCTTTAATTTGATACATCACCTTATCATGTCATTGAGACGTTTCAAAGTGCTTCACAGGATATGCTGTAAAGTGTAGTGACTGTGTTTTGTGGGCAAAACATGGTAGCCAGTTTGCGCAGAGCAACGTCCCACAAACAGCCATTGAGTGAGTGACTGGGGGTTGTTGGCCAGGACACTGGGAGAGAGAAACTCTCTTCTCTTTTTGAATAGCACCTCCGACAATGAAACACACTCCAAACACTGTATTGGAGTGTCAGCTTAGACTCAGTGGTTAGAGCACTCGCTTTGCAAGTGAGAGACCTGGGTTCGATTCCTGGCAGAGTGGAACCTTGGGCAAGTTTCCTTACTCCACACGCCTGATAATAATAATAGTCCCTCAAGAAAAAAAATTGGTCATTTCAATCCACAACTATTTGTGGGACACTGCTGTGTGCAATTGGCTGCCGCATTTTGCCCACAAATATACAGTCAATTCACTTTTCAGTCTATTCTGTGAAGCGCTTTGAGACGTCCAGAAGACGTGAAAAGCGCTATATCAAAAGCAAGGATTATTATCATTATTATGTAATTTCAAATCTCAACGTGGGGCTTGAACCCACAACCTTGTGACTCAGAGATGAAAGCACTATCACTGACACCACTGAGATGGCTGACATGTAGTCTGTCAATTGTAGGGCTGTTTATGTTTAGACAAATAAGGCAGACAATTTGCACATATTAATAAAATACAGCTGTCCCTTTGTCTTTAATTCACAAGATATTTTATTATAAGCATCACATTTGTAATTTCCTTATGGTGGGCTCCTCTGATCAGCCGCTCTCCTGTATTTGATGTTAGCAGCAAAAGAATATATCCTTCAGCAATAAATAAATAATACTTAAATTTGATATGGAGCCTTTCGTATTAGCGTCCCGGAGTACTTCTTCAGGACGCTACCCCACTTCTCTTTGCTAATCTCACTGGGCAAGAAGTGCTCTGCCCAAGTTGCATGAAGTAGTTTGTGTTTGTCAGTATATTGATTCACTGGGAACACTTTGAGCTGTTTGAACATAAGAAATGCTAATCGATTCTGATTATCTGTGTGCCAGAATGGCATGCAGAGAGCAAGCAGCTGCTGCACATCTCCAACTAGTGGAACCATCACTCAATGGATAGGGATGTGTGTCTGAGATGTGGGCAGGAGGATGGAGGCATTGCACCCACACATTTTGTACTGAGCTTTGCTGCCCACCAGGAAGCTCGCAGGGAGTTCCTGGTACATGCCATCCACCAGTGAGGGCACAAACCCACACTTCTCAGATGTCAAATGACCCACTGATGCCTCCTTGGAGCTGAACTGGTGATATGTTTGGCAACGGAATGTCAGAGTCAGAACTACCGATACTGTCACAGCACGCTGTGCATGAGTACCGTAATGTTCAGTGTGTGGTGTGCAATTGACTGTCCTGGTGGGTGGGGAGGTAAGCAAGGTCTCCTTGGAGCTGATCTGTCAGAATCGAGACAGTTTCTAGTCCAGTTTCTGAACCAGGCTGGTCTGTAATATTCTAGGGCACTGCTGATTGCAACAGGACTTGGCAGGACTTGGAAGGGCAGACCAATCTCTGGGGGCAGTGATTCCTCCCACTCAGCTTCTGTTAACTCTGCAAGCCAAAGCCCTAACTGGTAGGTGGTCCTAGCTGGACAAAGCAGCAGGAAGCTAGCCAGGTAGTGCTCTCAATGGCAAGCTATGCGGTTTGAGGATGTCAGTAATCAGTAACTTGCAGCAAAACCAGCTAATGGTTTCAAGGGTGTTTTGCCAAGCTGAATCAGGGCATTTTGCTTGAACCTGAATTATAGAAAAGGCTGTAGTTAGGTATGAACTCAACCATAAAAAGAGAGTGACCTGGTTTTATGAAGCAGAGGATTGTACTCTGTTTGTGTGGGAAAGCAACACAAGGAAATTGCTGTGTGCAAATGTGGAGTCCTGCAATAAGTAGGAACCTGGTTGTTAGTCGATTGGCGGATTGCTTTTCCGGGGTAATAATTTTTTCAAATAATAATAAATTAGTCATTCAATCCATGATTGTTTATGGGACACTGCTGTGCGCAATTGGCTGCTGTGTTTTGCGCACAAAATACACATTCAATTCACTTTACAGTATATTCTGTGAAGGGTTTTGAGACGGATCGAAATGTGATAAGATGCTGTGTCAAATGCAAGGATTATTATTTTTAATTAAAAACAGTCTGTACTTGCTTTTGTTCATCCAGCAGGTGGCACACATCCAAAATCAATGCAAGATCCTTGACTGGTGGGTGGGGAACACTGGGGTTTCCAGTTCACAGTGTCTCAACCTTTGACTCCAAGACCAATGCTGTCCTGACACTCTACCTGCCAGACATCAAATCCTGATGAACCTCGATGTCCTTCAACTAAATGGTTGAACAAACTTCGATAAACTCAAGCCATCCCGCTTGGGAGAAGGTGACCTTGCTTACGGTTACCTCTTCCCTTCCCCTGGCTCAGCATCAGGCACCGCCACTGTTAAGCACTCCAAGATGCTGCCCCATGTAAAGGGCGCTATATAAATGCAAACTGTTGTTGTTTTCTCTCACAAGACCCGTCTCATCCCTGGCTCCGGCTTTGTCAACGTGTCCTTCGGATGAGACGTTTAACCGACATCCCATCTGCCTGTTCAAGAAGACTTTAAAGATCCCATGGCACAACTTGAAAAGAGAGGGGAGTTTCTCGCTACAGTATCCTGGCCAGCGATCCCCCAGATAGAATTGGTCACTCACTTCACAGCTGTTTGTAGACATTGCTGTGTGCAAACGGACTACCAAATTCACCTGCAAAATATACAGTCACTACTCAGTAAAATTCTGTGAAGCGTGTTGAATATAATAATCCTTACATTTGATGTAGTGCCTTATCACGTCATTGAGACATCATGTGCGCTTCACAGAATATACTCCAAAGTAAATTGACTGTATATTTTGTGGGAAAACATGGCAGCCAATTATGTACAGCAGTATCCCACAAACAGTCGTGGATTGAGTGACCAAATTATTGTTATTTTTTAAGGGATTATTATCTCTGGAAAGCAGATCACCAATTGGCTAACAACCAGGTTCCTACTTACTACCAGGTAAACAGAGGCATATGGAGTAAGGTTTCACCCCACCCATGAATTGAACCCGGATCCTCTCACTTTCGAAGCGTGTGCTCTAAACACTACTCTACAGGACTCCATTTTTTTTTAGCAGAGAAAAGTTTTACTTCTTTGGAAATGAGTGTGTATGGAGTGTGGTGGGGTGCGTGTAGAAATGGCAGTCTTTCTTTACCTCAGGAGGCTAAGCCTGGAAATAAGGGCTTGCAATATCTAAACTGGAAATTCAGCTAGAAATTGGTATTTTACAAAAAAAGCAATGTCCCTTGGATTACAGGTTAAATCGACAACCCATCTGTGGCTGTTATTGTAAAATTTAAAGATCCCAACGAATATACTTGAAAAGAGAAGAGTTTCTCCTGCTATTTTGGTCAACATTCCCTCAGATAAAATGGGTCACTCACTTCATGACTCTTTGTCAATACATTGCTGGATATTCTTCTTTAGAATATCTGAGGGATAAAAACAAAACCTTAAGCAAAACTGCCATAAACGTGTGATGAGCTTGTTTAGGTAATAGCTCATCAACGATAGGAGATCACCCCCCAAAAAATATGCCCATGACACTCCCCCCTGCAAGACCTTCCCAATGAGGGATAAATCATGTCTCTTCGTGAGTTGTTTTGTTGCGTTCTTAGCGGACAAACAGACAGTCCACAGGCAGACACTTTAGTCTTTATTAGTATAGACAGAAGATTCTATGACGTGCTTTGAGACATCTCAATGACATGAAAAGACGCTATATCAAAAGGCAAGGATTATGATTATATTCACTATGTACTGTCACACACTGTGAACTCTGTGTGTCACATACACTGTGTAATCTGTGCCACACTGTCACACAGCTGCGTGGAAAGTGACGTGGTCACAAGGACCCATACACGTCACAACGCCCCTCCCCCTCCACCAATCAGAGGGACGCGCTGATCAGCACGTGACCTCTGGAGCCCGGCGCATTCTGGGGACTGTAGTTCTGTGCGGGAGTGGTGGCGCGGTAGAGCGCATGCGCGAGATTCCTGGCAGAACCTTCCAGAATAGACGTTGGTGGAGGAGAGTCACCGAGGGCCCGAGGCCAGGTAATGACGCCAACCCGGGCCTGGCTCAGGGCAGTGTGTGTACCCGGGCCGGGCTCAGGGCAGTGTGTGTACCCGGGCCGGGCTCAGGGCAGTGTGTGTACCCGGGCCGGGCTCAGGGCAGTGTGTGTACCCGGGCCGGGCTCAGGGCAGTGTGTGTACCCGGGCCGGGCTCAGGGCAGTGTGTGTACCCGGGCCGGGCTCAGGGCAGTGTGTGTACCCGGGCCGGGCTCAGGGCAGTGTGTGTACCCGGGCCGGGCTCAGGGCAGTGTGTGTACCCGGGCCGGGCTCAGGGCAGTGTGTGTACTGGCTCATATCACAGATGTTTGGCAAAAGTCGAGCCTTGTGTCCCCCACTGTGTGTCCATCATCAGTTGTGGAGTCCTGCGGACCTGCCTGGCTAAGATACCAAGAGTACTAAACTCTGTACCCTCATCATACCAGTTCTAGCCAGGGTTCACTGGCATTTTATCGCCAAATGGATCGATTTCAAGATCCTCATATTCGTTTTCAAATCTCTTCGTGCCTTGGCACTTCCCTACCACTCCAATCTGGATAAGCCCACATCCCACTGCTTCCACTCGACTGGCTCTGGCCTTCTGCATGGTCCCTCATGCCCTCCATTTTTCACCATTGGTGGCCGCGCTTTCAGTCACTAGGCCCCAAAACTCTGGAACACTCTTCCTGTATCCCTCCGCCTTGCCCCTTCTTTTCCCGTCTTCAGGGCTTGCCTGAAGACCTTCCTGTTCGACCGTGCCTATGGTCACCTCCGCATGGCTCGTCATCATGCTCCACCACTGTCAAGTGCTCTGGGATGCTACTCTGCATGAAGGGTGCCATATAAATGCAAGTTGTTGTTGAGCTGTGAATTTGCATTGGAGTTGCACTTTGTTGCATCATAAGTGATTCAAAGGGATTACATAATGGCTTCTTATGTAAACATGTTTTCCTTTCCCCCATAACTTTTCTTTTGGAAATTTCTTGTACACTATTGTACTGCAGAAACTATTGTTCTGTAGCACTTCACTGTTTTATATTTGCTCTCTTTCACCTTTTAAACGGCATAAAATGAAACCCAAACTCAAATCTTTTAAGCCGTTCAGGTTTTAATACAAGATCGCAAGCCAGTAATAATAATAATAATCCTTGCATTTGATATAGCGCTTTTCACGTCGGGAGGACGTCCCAAAGCGCTTCACAGAACACGCTGTAAAGTGAATTAACTGTATATTTGTGGGCGAACGCGGCAGCCAATTGCGCACAGCAATGTCCCACAAACAGTCGTAGATTGAAAATGACCAATTTAATTATTGTTTTTGTTTTTTTTTTGGAGGGATTATTATTAGGTGTGTGGAGTAAGGAAACTTGCCCAAGGTTTCGCCCTGTGCCTGGAATTGAACTCAGGTCTCTCACTTGCAAAGCGAGTGCTCTAACCACTGAGCTACAGGACTCCAGTAGGATCTTTCTTTGCTAACACTTCTTGCTCCTGGGTTTGGGAAAAATGCTCTGACCTAACACAGTGTCATTAAGACAATCAATTATTTGTATTAAAAAACATTTACCGGACGGAGCTCCATTGCATTTTTACAAGTTACGGATCTACAAATTTCAGCTGGCAAAATCTTTACATTTACTGAACTGCACAATGGGTGCCACATGCCAGGATTGGAGGCTTGCCACTTTAAATACCTCTGAAGCGTAACTAATCATAGAGCATAACAAATGCCAGGTTATATATTTGTTGCGCAGTCAACCTTCAGGTTCTAGAGCATGTGTCTTGTATGTGTTTTTTCTGAACAATAATATTTTTAAAGGTTTAGAATCATGTACTATTATTTTGGATTCTTTGTTCTAAAATGGCCTCATCCGAAAACAAAACCTGCCATTCTTGTGTTTAGCCACGTGTGTCTGTCATTGGCAAGAAGAGACTATTTTCAAGATTAATGGTAGAAAGGGTTTTACTGTATGACATTACCTACAGGCTTCAAGTGTAATTATTGTGTTGTACGATTGGCTTATAAAACCACTGTGTATTTTTTTATCTTAGATTTGTGGTAGCCTGCATGTCAACTCATGACCCTGTAACACAATCTATTGCACAATATTCCTTTCCTGTATTATATTCCATTGTGATGCGTTTAATGGGAAATTAAAACTACTGTGCATTATATGTTATGTAGCACTTTTTTAGGTACTGTACGAAGCATAATATGCACTCTTTGGTTTGTTAAATAGGTATAGTGGAGGTGCAGCCATTCAGATAAAGATATTCAGGAAGTTATTGAATGTGGAATCACTACATATGTTAGTTAGCGCAATATGGTGGAGATTTTTTTAAACTTTGTACAGATTAGGGTGGGACAATACATTTCATTTTTTTAAATGAAACTTGTTGCAATAGAGCACAAAGAGCTACAGTATTGTAGAATATGTTCAGTCGCCTAAAACGGTCACTAAATGTGCAACACTGCAGTGAATCAGAGTGCCTCTGTCATAATCTGTTAAATGGATTAGAATAAGACTGCAGTAACTTCCTTAACAGTGCCTGACTTCAGAACCTCACTATTTTTATTTTTACCAGTGCAGTATTGCCCTTTGAAGTATGGGAAGAATTCTGGAATCTCCACAAGATATTTAGATGCATTTCCTGTTCTTTCCTTTGACAATTATTAGATTTCCGTGCAGCACACCATCATGTTGGTTGCAAGGTTCGCTTGTCTGAGAAATTTGCCATCCCTGAGCCTGCGACCTGGTCTTACCCAGGGGTCTGTGGCCTGGAGAAATCCCAGCCAGAAAACCACTCAATGGCTGCTGCAGCCCAAACAGGTGAGAATGCAAATTGTTAATCACTTTTAGTTTTAAAGTTTTTTTTCTCATGACTTTATTGTATTAGATGCTTTAGATGTTCTGTAATCTTATAATGGAGTCTTATAAGCAAGAGGGCCCTGGTTCGATTATTGGGCAGAGTGAAACCTTAGGCAAGTTTCCTTACTCCACATGCCTTTACTTACTTAGTAGTAAGTAGGAACCTAGTTGTTAGTTGATTGGCGGATCGCTTTCTGCGGGTAATTTCTGCAAAAAAAATTTGGATTACTCAATTCACGACTGTTTTTGGGGGTCACTGCTGTGTGCAATTGACTGCCGAGTTTCGCCCACAAAAATATACATTACAGTTTATTCTGTGAAGTACTTTAAGACATCACGAAGACAATGTGATAAAGTGTTTTATCAAATGCAAAGATTATTATAGCTAAAGCTCTATGTGAAACTGGAAGATTTACAATAACAGATGTGCATTACTTAAGGCTTTCTGTTCATGCCATCGTACTTCTCAATAGGCAAGTACATGTAAACCGCTTTCATATGAAATTTGTAAGGGACTCTTCCAGTAACTCAGAGAGTCCATCTTTCCACATGCAAGCAACCTGCCCAATAATAGCACTCTATCTTTTTCCAGGGTTATGCCTCAAGGCCACGTTTCAGTCTGAAACGGGCCAAAAGCGTGCGTGAAGACTTCAAGGATGCAGCATACCAGCCTGCATGGGAAACTGCAGCCAAGAGTAAGTCAATGATTTATCAGAGTGTCCTTTGTTGGAAAATGTCTCTGGCTTTATAAGTGGGATAGTTATTACAGGTTAAAATAATATCCCAAGAGTTATAATTTGGTCGGCTTACTGTTCTTTCGTTTTGTCATGATGTAGCTTGTCAGAGCAGAGAATGGAATCTCTCCACTTTGCAAATGAACAGTCTTTACACTTGACAGTAATTACTGTAGTTGGTTTTGGAAGGCTTGAACATAATAAGGCCAATAAAATTGAAAGTTCTTTCTGTTCCCTAAAACAGTTAAATGTTACTCTTGAGTGAGGTTGCATTTTAGTGCAGTACTGTGGACCTAGACAATGCTTGGGGAGTACTGCATTGTCAGAGGTGCTGTCCTTTGGATGAGAAGTTAAATTGAGGATTAACCTTAAAATGTACTTGTTTAGGTGGACTATTCAGAAAGAGAAGAAAGTTTCTCCCAGTGTCCTGGCAAACTCCTCAGATAAAATTGGCCATTCACTTTATGGCCATATTTGGGACATTGTTGTACAGGAATTGGCTGCCACGTTTGCCTACAAATACATAGTCACTACACTTTACTATAGAAATTTGGTGAAGTGATTTTAGAAGTTTCAATCACCCGGTAATGTTCTAAATCAAATGCAAGGATTGTTCTCACCATCTTCAATCTCTTGGATTTCAGCAGATTTGCCTGTGTTTCCTCGATCCTAGGTTAATGGAGCGAAATTCCTCCTTGGTTGAAGTGGCTTGTCTAAATCCCTTCATGCCCTCCTTACCTCTCCAACCATCTTACTCCCCAATCCATTACCTGTTGACTCTGCTCAACTGGACTCGTGCCCTCTGTTCCAACATCGGCAGCTGCGCTTTCGGTTATGCCCCCAAACTCTGGGACACTCCCTCAATCCCTCCTCCTTGCCCCCTCCTTCCCCATCTTCAGGTCGCACCTGAAGACCTTCCTCTTCGATTGTGTTTATGACCACCCCACTGTCCCCCCACCAGCGAGCTTGGTGTCGAGCTCTGCCACTGTCAAGCACTCTTGAGATGCTGCCCTGCGTGAGGGGCACTGTATAATAACGAGTTGTTGTGTGAAAAATCTCAAAAACCTTTAATACCTGAGACCTTTGTCTCCTATACTCAGTTAGCTGTGGGTGAAGGTGTGAAAGATGAAATGATCTTTGTTTCAGTGCACAACACAGGAAAGCTGTTTGTGGCTGGTGGAGCTGCTGTGGGTCTCGGGGCTCTCTGTTACTATGGCCTGGGAATGTCCAATGAGATCGGAGCCATTGAGAAAGCTGTGTAAGTACTTAATTCCTTTTTGTGGGATAATTCTGCGGAATCCTGTAGTGTTTAGCGCGCTCGTCTTGCAGACCCAGATTCGATTCCCAGATCGGGGCGAAAGCCTAGGCAAGTTTCCTTACTCCACACTCCTGTTTACCTAGCAGTAAGTAGGAACCCATTTAATAATAGTAATAATAAATTGGCAGATAGTTTTCCAGGGGTGATAATCCCTCCAAATTATCTGTCCTGTAGAATTCTATGATTGTATGAATGATCCTTACCCAGTGTCCAAACACTTGCACTTTCCAGTTGGAGTTACTGAATATTGTCCAATATTGGGAAGCCAGGTCATTTCCCAAGTATTCCCCTCCCATTGCCAGTCCACAGATGACAATCTCAATCATAGCTGCCTGATTGAGATCAGCTAACTGAACGCCTACACTTTGTAGTAATTCTTATGAAGCACTTTGAAACATTTCAATGACGTGATAAGGTACCATATCAAATGCAAGGCTGATGATTTTTATTATTATAACTAAGTGCAGATTTAAGGATTAAATCTAGAATTTCCTTTTCCACAGTTGCAAAACTGTAGCAACTGTTTTCTATGAAAACAACGTAGCATTCGTGTGATTCCATGAGTACTGAATGACACGTACTCCCCAATTACTTTGCGCAAGAAGCCATTCATGCCTGAGCTGTGACAGTGCGTGTTAGCTTGATGGTAGACCAATTCTGTCTTCCCCCAGCATTCACATGCATCCTCCAGTAGAGTGTGTCAACCAGAAGTAGGAATTCTGAATGATTTTCCTCTCAGAGACACTGAAGCCAATTGTTGTGCCACAGACACAATGGGCCCATTGTCTTTGTTCTGTACATTAAAACATTTCGATACTTGGCTAACTTTTTTTGGTCAGTCAGATTTCTGACACATTCAGAAACCCATCACCATGCTTAAGAGTATCCAAACAAAATTGCATCCCACCTTGACAAATAATTTCCCATGTATTGGAATGGAATACACACACTCTCCCTCGAGGGACCCAACCTGCTTGCCTAATTCCAGAGAGTGTTAAGCGTAGGATGACCAGAGACAAGAATTGGGCTTATTGGCTATTGAATGGCTGATTGTCGATCAAAACTGCAATCTTCTGGTCTATATAGTTTTGTGCTGCGTGAGCTCCACTTGCTGTTTAGGTGAGCCGAAGACTACACTGTTATGTGACAAATATAATTTAAGATAATGAGCAAATGATTGACGGGAGATTTAAAACAACCTTTACACAAACTGGGTGGCTGTAATGTGGAATTCTCCGCCTCAAACTGTAGTTGATGCAGAGTTCATCAATTCTTTTTAAAGGGAAACAAATGATAATAATAATCCTTGCATTTGATATAGCACCTTATCAGGTCATTGAGAAGTCTCAAAGCACTTCACAGATTATACTGTGAAGTGGATTAACTGTGTATTTTGTGAGCAAAACACGGCAGTCAATTGTGCACAGCAGTGTCCCGCAAACGGTTGTGGATTGAGTGACCACATTTTTATTTGAGGCATTATTGCCCCTGGGAAACGATCCGCCAGTTGACTCCTTACTGCTTACTTACTACTTACTGCTAGATAAACAGAAGCTTGAGGAGTAAGGAAACTTGCCTAAGGTTTTGCCCTGCCAGGGAATCAAACCTGGGTCCTCTCGCTTGCAAGGCAAGCACGCTAACCCCTATGCTTCGGGACTCCATACAACTAGATGGCTCAAGAGAAGGATTATTAAAGATGTGTGTGTGGAGGATGGAGTGACCTTTACAGTGGGATTAGACTGGGTGGTTCATGTGGAGAATAGCACCAGAACAGATCTCACGTGTCAATTGGCCAGTTTCTGTGCTGGAACATTGTGCATTATGTTTGAGATGTCCTCCTGACAGCAAAGGCACAATCTTATAAGGATTATTATTATTACTGCTAACTGTGTGATCTGTTTCACAGCATCTGGCCACAGTACGTAAAGGAGAGGATTCGTTCCACGTACATGTACTTTGCTGGAAGTATAGGGTTGACAGCACTGTCTGCTGTAGCGGTCAGCAGGTCACCAATGTTGATGAATCTCCTGATGAAGAATTCCTTTCTGGTAAGCTGTTGAAAGTAAACAGTTTGTACTACAGTGAAGGATGCATTCAGTTTATGGAAACAGTAGCTAGTTAAGGTATTATAATCACCCACAAGTTGCCCACAAAATACACAGTCACTCCACTTTACAAAATATTCTTTGAAGAAATCTCAACGATGTTATATCAAATGCAAGGATTATTATTTTATTATTCTTTGAAGTCACAATGCAGTGTTGGGGGAACACTGCATTGTGGGAGGTGTCATCCGTAGTCCTGTTAGCCTGATCAGGTGGGCATTAAAGATCCCACTGTACTAATTGAAAAGAGAGGTGAGTTTTTCTTTCCTGGTGTTCTGTTCAACAATCCCCCAAATAAATGAAGATGTGAAAACATTTCTATATGCACACTTGCCTTTAGAGTAGAATTTTGCTCATCACTTGGGGGTGTGTGGCATCTTTATTGCCTTTCTGATCAGTAAGTACATTTTAAGAAAGCTGTTCTGTAGATTATGATGGACTACATTTCTCCATTTGATATTCATTAGTTTAATTTTCCCCTTTAACAGGCAATAGGAGCAACCTTCGCAGCTATGATAGGTGCTGGCATGTTGGTGAGATCTTTACCATACACGGAGAGGCCAAGTATGAAACACCTGGCTTGGCTTTTGCATGCAGGTGAGAGATTTGCAAAGCATATAATATAGTCAAAGTCAAATCTCCCAGGAGAGAAAGCTGTTCACTTCATTACTGGAACCTGCGTTTCTAGATCCAATCATCATGTGGATATTTTAGGAACAGCTAGAAATGATGGGTCTTATTCATGTTCCATACGTTAAAGATCCCGTGGACATTAAAGATCCCATGGCACTATTCGAAAAGAGAAAGGAGTTCCTCCCGCTTTCCTGGCCAACAATTCCCCAAATAAAATTGGTCATTCACTCTAGGACGGTTTGTGTGCAACTGGCTGTGTGCAACTGGCTGCTGTGTTTTGCCCAGAATCCCCTTTACGGTATACAATGCAAAATTACATTTGTATAGCGCCTTTCACGTCAGGAGGACGTGGCAAGGCGCTGTGAATATCCTGTGAAGCGCTTTGCGATGTCTCAACAAGTGATCAGGCACTATATCCAATACAAGTATTATTATTCAAGATTGCACTCTGCTGAGAGTGGAAGCCAAAGGACTCACCCTGCCATTTAACAGGACTCCTCCGATCAGTCTTATGAAAACGTTTCCTGCTTCAAAACCTGTTTCCTATTATTGTCCAAAGCTAAATGCAGCCTAAAGAGAAACATTCCGGTTTTGGTGGTTTGCTGAACAATAAGTGCATTCAAGGCAGTTGTTCTATAAAACCACGTCATAAAAAGGAGAGGGAAGAAGGCCACACAGCACTTTGTGTAATAGGAAACCCTTTCTACACTAGGTCCAGAGTATGGCTTGCTCAATTTCTGAGTTGGTTTTACCAGAATATTTGGCCTTTGATTCTCTAGCATTCTAATAATAAAAATCCTTGCATTTGATATAGTGCTTAATCACGTCTTCGAGATGTCTCAAAGTGCTTCACAGATTATATTATAAAGTGAATTAACTGTATATTTTGTGGGTGAATCATTTGGTGAGTTAAAAAAATATTTCACAAATGCTTTTTGCCAAAATTCTTTTGGATCGTATCATTTTGATCATTTTTTTCAACAAAACAAGTGGGAGTGTTGGAAGTTTAATATTTTTAGGTGGCATTTTCAAAACTCATTGAATTTGAGTGAGATCAAGGCTCTTGAGATGGCGTTTACATGGGAAGCCGTTAATCATGTATTGCGGGATAGGAATTCTTCAGACTTGTCAAGTGCTCTGACTGATCCGTGCAGAAGTAGCTGAGCAGTGCAGAAAACTGTCTTGGAATCCCCTGTTGAATTGCGTGTACTTTTTCCAAGTAAGCAGTCACTTTATCATGGATTAAAATGCTGCTGTGTATTTGTAATAGGGAAGGTGTCTATTGAGAATCAGTTTGCAATAAATAAATAATCTGGTTACCAAATCCATGACTGTTTGTGGGTCACTGCTGTGTGCAATTGGTTGCCGTGTTTCACCCACAAAATACAGTCAGTTCATTTTACAGTATATTCTATGAAGCGCTATCAGAAGTCTCAACCTGACAAGGCGCTATATCAAATGCAAGGATTATTATAACTAAATTTAAGGAAGTCTGTAGTGGGTTTTGTTCACTAGTAGGCATGCCCTGATTGGAGTGTGAATGGAAAGCTAATCTGAGAGGTTCCTTGTGTGAATAGGGTTCACTGTCCATGTGAGGCTGCCTACAATCTACTAAACTCTGCTTTGTTGTTTGTTCAGGTGTGATGGGAGCTGTGGTCGCTCCAGTTACTCTTCTCGGTGGTCCCCTGCTGATAAGAGCTGCCTGGTACACAGCAGGCATCGTTGGAGGTCTCTCCACCGTTGCGATGTGTGCCCCCAGTGAGAAGTTTTTGAACATAGGCGGACCGTTGGCTATTGGCCTGGGCTTTGTCTTTGCTTCATCTGTGGGTAAGTGACTTTCAGTTGGCAGGATCCTGCGTGTCTCTCTTTCTGATCAGAACACTGCTATTCCTGCCGATTCTCACTCCAACAGTGATAAACTCATTTACTCCTACTCCTTTGTTAGGCTGAGTGTTTAACACGCTCGTCCCACAAGTGAGAGGACCCAGGTTCAATTCCTGGATGGGGGTAAAACCTTAGGCAAGTTTCCTTACTCCACTCGCCTCTGATACCTAGCATTAAGTAGTAAACCAGTTGTTAGTATTCTCAAAGCCAGTCAGGAACCTCGGCGTTTTGTTCGACCCTGAGCTGTCCTTTCTCCCTCACATCCGCACCACAACTGGCACCGCCTTCCATCACCTCCGGAACATCGCCAGACTACGGCACTACCTCACCCCTCACGCTGCTGGAACCCGGTCCACGCCTTTATCACCTCAAGGCTGGACTATGGGAACTCTCTCCTCGCCGGCCTTCCCGCCACCTCCCTCCACAAGCTGCAGGTCATTCAGAACTCTGCAGCTCATGTACTGTCCCGCACCAGGCTTCGGTACCACATCACACCCACCCTCGCTCGCCTCCACTGGCTCCCCATCCCCCCGAGGATTGATTTCAAGATCCTCATCCTCACCTATAAGGCCATCCACGGCCTTGCTCCCTCCTACCTCTCTGACCTACTATCCCCCTACCTACCTGCCCGTACCCTCCGTTCCTCCGGCTCCGGTCTGCTCCACGTCCCCCGCCCCAACCGCCCTACCATCGGTGGTCGGGCCTTCAGCCTCTCAGCCCCCAGGCTCCGGAACTCCATTCCCCAGTGCCTTCGCATTGCCTCCTCCCTCTCCTCCTTCAAGGCCGGTCTCAAAACCTTTCTCTTTGACCGAGCCTTCAGCTCCCCTCTCGACTCTCTTCCCCCTCCTCGCTCCCTCCCTTCCCTCTCCTCACCCTGACCATTTCCCCCCTCCTCGCTCCCTCCCCTCACCCTGACCATTTCCCCCCCTGCTCGGGTCCTGACCCAACTGTGCAGCGCCTTGGGACGTCCTCCTGACGTGAAAGGCGCTTTATAAATGGAATCTTGTTGTTGTTGTAGTATTTGGCGGATTGCTTTCCGGGGGAAATAGTCCTTCCAAAAAAAAAGTGGTCATTCAATCCATGATGTTTGTTGGACACTGCTATATGCAATTGGCTGCCACGTTTTGCCTGCAAAGTACACAGTGAATCCACTGTATAGTATATTCTGTGTAGTACTTTGAGATGTCATGACGTAATAAGGCACTATATCAATTTCAAGGATTATTATTACAGGCTCCATGTTCTTGCCCCCTACCTCTATGTTGGGTGCTGGTCTGTACTCTGTGGCTATCTATGGAGGCCTTGTGCTTTTTGGCATGTTCCTGCTGTATGACACCCAGAAGGTGATTAAACAAGCTGAGAGCTTCCCTGTCTATGCTGTCCAGAAATTTGATCCTATTAATGCGTAAGTACTGTTTTTCTACTGCTTTGTTGCTTATAGAGTTGTTTCTCATCCTCCAATTACTGAAAATAAATCGAAACTATCATCCAAACCAAAGAGAAGTTGGGTTCTAACAATACAGTCATATGAAATCAGCAGCTAGCTAGTAATTATATACACTCTCAGTACATATCAGTGTAACAAAAAAAAGTGAACAGGGTTTCCACAAAGTCCTGTTACCCCACCATTACAAAACAGCAATATGAAACATTCAGAGGAGCTGAATCAAGCTGTCAGAGATGCATTTCGCCTCATCACTCCACCCATGTTACGAAAGATGACACAGCAGATTATCTGCCATGAAAATGATGGTGCTCACATATACCCATCCTCTCGAGGTCTTAGTACAGTTAAACACTTGTACTGAATACAATGAAGTACTTCTAAATGCAATTAGCATCATTCTCCCACATGTTTCAGTTGTTATTCAGTACACTGTGTAAAAAAAAACAGGTTAATGGGACAACCGGTACATTGTACTGAATGAAGAGAAAGGTTCAGGATATGGGATGGGCTGCTGAGCTCAGTGTTAAAAAGCAGAACCTCCAGTAGTTGTTATTGTTCACAGTATTCTCTGATGGGATAAAGGAGGAGATATTAAATATGGTCAGCGTAAACTGGAAGGGGGTGGGGGAAAAGGCGAGGCAAGAGTCCAAAGACCGGGTCAGAGTATTACAAAGAATGTACTGCACGGAAACAGGCTACTCAGCCCAATCTTCATTCAGACACGTATGTCCTGATCCCTGACTGTTCAGCGCCTTGGGATGTCCTGATGTGAAAGGCGCTTTACAAATGTAATTTTGTTGTTGCTATGTATACGGTGTCCACAAAGTCCCGTTACCCCGTTTTTTTTTTCTGCAGTGCATTCGCCAACAAGTGAAGCACGCTCATTAGTAATATGTATAATTCCCATGTTAATACTCCACACAAAATTTTATTATTCTTCAGTATGTCCTGCTCTGACCTAAATATAATTGTGCTGAATGAACTACATATAATGTGATTAATTATGAAGTCATTCAATCCATTGGAATCAGTTAAGAATATTATGTCTGTTGCCTTTACACCTTGTTTGAATGCTCTCTCTAGGTGTATAGGAATATACATGGATACATTGAACATCTTCATTCGGGTCGCAGCCATGTTGGGAAACGGTGGCGGTAGCAGCCGGAAGTGATTCAATGGATCAACTACCTAATCTTGGACTCTCAATTGGCCCTTGGTGTACGAAATGTACGTTAATGGGTGGACTGAACTTGTAATCAAATTGAAATTCAACAACCCCCAACCCTGCACTCCAAGCTTCTGCTGAAACCACCAAATGAGCATTGGATGGAATCTAGCTTCCTTGCTTCTCCTGTGCGCCTCTGAAGAATAAAATGGAGGTTAAAACGGGGTGTATTTTTTATGTGTATTGTACAAAGATCATTTGCTTATGTGTTCAGGCAGTTTAATTATTTCAAAGACTAGAAATAAAATGTTGCAACTGCAGCTGCACTTTTAGTTAATGATTGTCCTCTTGTCTTGAACTTGCCCACTATGTGATGATCGACTGTGCATATTGGAATACTAGACTTAATAATTTGGAATAATTCTACTTGTGTTTCACCAAAACAGAAGAAATCTTTCAAAGCGATAGAGGTTGATATTAAATTTGAAACTATATGACAGGCAAATTTTCTTACTCCACACGCCTCTGTTTACCTAGAGGTACGTAGGAATGCAGTTGTTAGTTGATTGGCAGGATCGCTTTCCAGGGGTAAAATCCCTCCCCCCAAAAACAAATTCTAAAAAAATAATACTGTAATAATTTGGTCACTAAATCCATGATTGTGGGACCTGCTGTGTGCAATTGGCTGCTGGTTGCTCCCACAAAATGAAGCACTCTTGAGACGCCGTCTGGCGTGGAGGGCACTATATAAATCCAAGTTGTTGTTGAAAATACAGTCAATTTGTTTTAAAATATATTCTGTGAAGTGCTTTGGGACGTCTCAACGTGATAAGGCTCCATATTAATTTCAGCCTGTTCTCACATGATAACTATATCTTCAGTCGGGTGTCTGATACTTACGGAAAACCATGTGCTTAAGAGTATCCAAATCATTGGAAATTCCCGTGTAATGGAATACACCTGAGAAGGATGCATCCTGCTCACCTAATTCCAGAGAGTATTTGCAGGTTGGCAAAACTAAGGGGAATCCCAGAATGTGTGTTCGGGTAACAGCTAGAGTTTAACCAGCTCAAACTGCATAGCATTGAGAGCACTGTCTGACAAGCCTACTGCTGCTTGTCCAGCTAGGATCACCCTAGCCGTTAGATCTTTGGTTTGTAAGGAGATGAGTGGGACGAATCCCTGCTACCAGTGAAATTTAGATTAAGAATGTTACTAAGGTTTTCAATAGCACAGCATCAGTGGCAACCGCAAGTGGGCTAGTGAGGCTATTCAGAACAGTAGGTCGTATTCTTGTATGCAAGTTTCCTTACTCCACACGCCTCTGTTTACCTCACAGTAAGTAGGAACCCAGTTGTTAGTCTATTGGCGGATCGCTTGCCGGTGTAATAATCCCTCAAAAACAAATTGGTCACTCAATCCATGACTGTTGGTGGGACATTGCTGTGCGCAATTGACTGTCGCGTTTTGCTCACAAAATTTACAGTCTATTCTGTGAAGTGCTTTGAGATGGTTTAACGATGTGATGAGACGCTATTTCAAATGCATTACTATTATAGTTGGCTTTGAGGCAGCAGTTGAGGCAGTAAAGGGTACCTTTCACCTCTTAACTCGTGACAAAGCTGCACTCAATCCAGTTCAGGAGAGAGCTCTATTAAGGAGCAGAGGAGTCTGCAGCTTCTGTTTGGAACTTGCACCTTATCTAAAACGTCCAGCTGAGTGCAGATTAATAACTTTGTGGTTAGATAGGGGTGTTAGGGTGCCACACCCTCCTCACTCTGCTCAAGATTAAGAAGATTAAGATTAAGAAGTTGGGGAAAGTGTCAGAGACTTACTGAAAATTACCAGGGTTCTATTATTGGAGAAGTGAGGGTAGAGAGAATCGTCATTAGTAAGAACTTGTTTTATGACACTCAACACTCCTTCCGCTCAGCAGGTTCTGGCTACTCCGTGTGGAGTCCTGTAGCTCAGTGGTTAGAGCACTCGCTTTGCAAGCGAGACACCTGGGTTCAATTCCAGGCAGGACGAAACCTTGGGCAAGTTTCCTTACTCTACACGCCTAATAATAATCCCTCCAAAAAAACAAAACCATAATAAATTGGTCACTTTCAATCCACGACTGTTTGTGGAACACTGATGTGCACAATTGGCTGCCGCGTTTCGCTTACAAATATACATTCAATTCACTTCACAACATATTCTGTGAAGCGCTTTGAGACGTCTAGAAGACGTGAAAAGCATTATATCAAATACAAGGATTATTATTATGTCGTCTGCCCTGCCTACCCCACCATCAAAGGATTATTATTATGTTGTCTGCCCTGCCTACCCCACCATCAGCGGACTGGCCTTCAGCCTCTCTGCCCCACATTTTGGAACTCCATCCCACAGTCCCTTCGCCTCACTCCCTCCCTCACCTCCTTCAAGGCCCAAGACCTGAAGAGGAAGATCTTTGAGGAAGGAAGAGGAAGGACACATCTGAGCAGCTTATCTGCTCATCTTGCAACCATTGTCTACATCTTCCTTCAAAGCAATTCTTTGTGGATGTGAACTAGACTCAATTGGTAAAAAACTTGCCTTTCAGTCAGAAGGTTGTGGGTTCAAGCCACAGGGACTGGACTTGCAGTCACATAATAAAGGCTGACACTCCAGTGCACTGTTGTTGGGAGATGCCGTGTTTCGTTGTGAGACACACTAAAGTGGCACGAGATTTTATAAACCCATATTCACCTATAAACTACAGTCACAAAAAATCTTATGAAGCCTTTTGAGATGTCCTCCCAATGTGAAAGGCAGTGTAAAGGATTATACAGTATATTCTGTGAAGCGCTTTGAGATGTCTCAAAGATGTGATAAGGTACTACCATCAAATGCAAGTATTATTTTTGCCTTCTCACTGTTATAGCAGTTACTCATTTTCCCCACCAGGTGTCAGATTAATACTAATAAATCCTTGCTGCACAAATGTTCTCATTTGATACATACCTACAATGGTGAAACATTTCAAGTGCTTCACAGAATTTTATGTAAAGTATACTGATCATACTGCCAACCTGGCTCAGTTGGTAGCACTTTTGCCTCTGAGTCAGAAGGTTGTTGGTTCAAGTCCCAAGCCAGGACTCTGCTAACTCTGGGGAGGCTCAGAATTGTTGGGAGTTACTGTTCTTTGGATGAGAGGTTAAAGTTCCATGGGATACCATAGGTGTACATTTGCACAATCACCACACTTTGTGGTAAATCCTGTGGAATGTTTTCAGGTGCTACATCAAGCAGAACGATTAGTATTATTGTGGATCTTATAACACCCTGTGATGGTTTCCAGACCAGCGCATAAATACACACACACTACAGTATACAGTACATACTATCCATGTTCCACTTGCCTTGTTGCAGTTAGTCATTCTGCCCACCATAGGATCATAGAATTATACACTACAGAAGAAAGCCATTCAGCCCATTGTGTCAGTCCCAGCTCTTTGAAAAAAGCTGTCCAAATCAATCCCAATCTCTATTAACCCTGCAAACTTGTCCTCCCAAAATAATTATTTATGTATTATGCTGCCACCAAGTAGCAGAATACATTATTGGTGTACAGACGTCTTATTGCCATCAATAATAATCCTTGCATTTGATAAAGCGCCTTATCACATATTCGAGATGTCTCAAAGTGCTTCACAGAATATACTGTGGAGTGATTGTATATTTTGTGTTGTAACAGAAGCGTGTGTTTGGAGTAAGGAACTTGCTCAAATGCAATAATATATTTGCGTTTGATACAGCACTTATAATGCATCTCAAAATGCTTCACAGGATTTTCTGTAAGGTTCTGTAACCTGGTCCAGTTGGTAGCATCCTCGCCTTTGAGTAACATTACACTAAATCCTGTGAAACACTTTGAGATGTTTGATGGAGCCTGATGGAGCACATATCAAATGCAAGTATTGTTAGATTTTTAGCTGAACACAGCAGACAATTTGCATGCAGCAATGTACTGCACAGAGTGAATGACTAATTGTTGGCCAGGATGCTAGAAGACAGAAACTCCTTCACTTCTGATAGTGTCACAATCATTGTAAAGGCAGACAGGACCTTGGTTGAAGGATGGCCCTTTTGAAACTGGATCTCCCCAGCGCTGCATTGGAATGTCAGTCTGGACAGTGAACTCAAAAGGTCCGACTTGGGGCTTAAATCTACAAACTTTGTGACTCGGAGGCGAGAGTGCCCCTGACTGAGCCAGGCTGACATCTGACTTAACTTCCCCGAAAAGAGAAGGGAGTTTCTCTCTCCCAGTGTCCTGCCCAACAAATTCCCCCAAATAAAATTGGCCACTCACTCCATGACTGTTTGTGGGACATTACTGTGCGCAAACTGGCTGCTGTGTTTTGCCCACAAAATACACAGTCAATCCACTTTACAGTATATCCTTTGAGCTGTCCCGACGACATGATAAGGTGCTATATCAAATGCAAAGATTATTATTATTTTTATTTAACCCTGACTGAGATTTGAGAGCAGTTCTGCATACCAACATGTCACAGCCATTGTGTCCGTGTGTTCCAATGTTGTGTGTCAACTCCCCCTAATGGCTGCAGTCAGTCTAACAGGTGAATAATTGAACTAAACTATTGGGAAGGTCACATCTTCTGAATCAGCTGATCAGAAGATCACAAGGATGAAGAAGGCCTTTTGGCCCATTTGATAAAAGATATCAGCTGCAAGGAATATCAAATGTCTTCCTTGCAAAATACCCACCACACCATCTTCCCATCGCTGATCTCAGCTGGAGGTAAGGAGAGTGGGTGGGGGAAAGGGGGGGGCGGGTGGGGAGAGGTTTATAACACCTGGTTAGGGAACAAAAAATCTCCTGATCACTACCTTCCTCCCCCGCGCCCCTCCCTCCACCAGACATTGTCTCGTCACTCCATCCACGTTACGGAAGAAGAGACACCAAACATGGCAGTGGATCATTATTTGCCATGAAATTGATGGGAAAGAGAAAGGAGTTTCTCCCAGTGTAGCGACCAGCAAGCCTCCAGAGAAATTCGCTCCAATGGCTCTGTGTGTGTGTGAGTTTTGGGGAGCAGCTCACTGTGCGTAGAATGGCTGCTGCATTTGCCTTCAAATATACTACACTTGACGTTGACAACGATTGTCAAGCCGCTTCGGGACGTTTCAATGTTATAGAATTTAACGCTGTTTGCAAAAACTTTGTCCTTCTGCTTAACAAACGAATGGTCTGTGTTAATCTTGCCATTTGTTTACTCTGGCTGGTAGCAAAACATCAGATTTGCGTTTGGTCAAACAGAGAGCAGTAACATTTGACATTAAAAT